ATTCTTTTGCCTTTCAACATCTTTTCTCTAACACAGAAAGTTTTAAAATGGTATAAAAATCAGCTAAAGTCCCTACAGTCAAATCAGATGTAATCCTCTCATATTCCTTTTCTCCTATGACTTCTGTCAACAGTTTGGTCTTCAGTGCAGGATGATGGTGCTGGAATGTGACTGTGACACCACAACCACTGACAGTCTGATCAGACCAAAGCTGTTACTGTCACGGGCAGGGTAGATCTGGGCTCAGCAGGGATATGCATTTAACCCCCTTGAGCCCTGTGCCAGATGGGAAGGTAAAATGAGTCTTTCAGATCACCCTAGGGTCCTCCCAGCAAGCACTCACATTTCTCTGTATATGACAATCACTATATCTGGCAAGAAGCCATGTATTTAAACAAATATTTCTAACTAGACCCTTGACTCTTACCACTGTATTAAAGGGCTAAAGGTATTAGATTTGTGGATGTGTTCAGACAAATATTCTACGTGGTATTTTTTTTCATACTCCTAAACATTTCTGACAGTGTCTTTCATGATCTCCAGTCCAAAGGTTTTTCCAAACCTCCTAACATCCAGAAAGTAGGAGAAGTCCCAGGTGTCATCTTTTGCTGTTTTCTCTGCTAAATCATGTAGAAGATCAGAGAGAATTTATTTTCTAAGAATTTGAAAAATTCTTAGAATACAAACTCAGAAATACTGATTAATGAGCATCCCCACATAACACAGGACTTCTTTTTATTCCACTTTTGCTAATTAGTGTGAAAAATTACCACTGTAAAACAATGCATTTGTATCTAGCTTTACTAGAATGGGCTCCACAGGGAAGTGGTCACAGCACCAAGCCTGAGAGAGTTCAAGAAGTGTCTGGACGACACTCTCGGGCACATGGTGTGACTCTTGGGGATGGTCCTGTGCAGGGCCAGGAGTTGGACTCAATGATCCTTGTGGGTCCCTTCCAACTCAGTGTATTCTGTGATTCTGTGATTCTGTGAAGTGGCACTGATGTAAATGCAGAACAACTATATTGAATTTAATTTTCTCCTGATTTTCACCAGTGTGAAAACATGATTGGCCTGCCCTTTTTCTCAGAGCCCTTACCTTTCATCTGGAAATCAATCATTGCTCCAGATAAAATGACATTTGACTAATGACAGGAAACCAGTATCAGAAAACCAGCTTATAACATACCACGTACAATACACATAGCAGTTAGTCAAGACTAAGGGATTACGGCAACCCTACTATTTATCACTGCTTAAAACCTATGTACAGCTTTTACCAGGGAGAAAACGGAGAAAGAATTATAAATTTTTCATAGTAGGTCTAACTAAGAAAATTATTACTTGCAAGAAGGTATTTTAAAACACTTTACTGAGAGTGTGCTCATTTCATCTGCTGCTGCTGTTCATCCCTGTCCTGAATTTTTGGGATAAGGAGTTTTCTGGCCCATGGGTCTTGGCTGAGAATGGCCCTCTCTCTCTCTTCTCACAAACCACACCAAAAGACCATGAGCTGTAGCACAACTATCTTAGACACTTTTCTTCTTAAAACACTTTTTTCAAAGTAAATACAATCGACAATCATAAAGTAACAACTTCCATTTGCAGCTGTAACTGAACAGTGTTATATTACATATTGGATCCTGGAACCAAGTATTTGGTGGGAGAGGACCAGACCCTCCTGGGCACTGCAGCCACGCTGGACTGCACTGAGCCATAAACTAGCCTGGCCACTCCAAAGTTCATATTAAACAATACTGGAAACTGGTCAGTGGGTTCTTCTGAACCTATTGCTGTGGCAGTCATGAGAATACTGCTGGAGAAAAAAACATCCAGCAGAAGAGCTGGAACTCATGATATAAGACATCTCCAATCCTTCTCTATGAACACGGTTTTTCAGCTGCTTTAGACTTGTCTTCAACTCCCTGATAAGGCAATGCTTAGTCCTTCAGTTGAGAATAGCATTTTCCTTGTTCTTGAGAGTTTCACTGGGAAGCAATCACTCAACCCACCTCTGCCCATTAGAGCCACAGTGAGCTGCTCGTGTACCTCCATCTTAGGGTCTGGCTCCACAAATGGTGATTCCAGAGCTTGCTTTCTTAAATCTCCATTCCTGGCCTCAGTCTCTGCCTCACGGAGCATTTGGCTGAGCTCAAGTACATTAAGATGGTATTGCAAACTTCCCTCTGCATGGTGTGCACACAGCAAAGACCCAACAGGGGAAAGAAAAGGGGAGATGGCTGTGCCATGTCTTACAGGCTTTGTAGATAAAAAGTATCAACTCTAGCATGCAAAGGGGAAGAATTTTTTGTATGTCATTCTGTGGTTGTAAAACAAGATATTCTTTGAATTCTTTGGCAGGTCCTTCAAGCCTGATTGGAGAAAGGCAGCCACTGGGCCTCTTGGAGGGAGTTCTGTGTTATTCTGGTACTCCCCAAAGTAATGCTGAGTTGAAGAAGAGTGGACCAGCCAGCTGGCTTCTAGTTGACACCAGAAGAGTGATGAGGGGGAGAGGGACAATAAACTGAATGCATACTACACACAACACATCAGAAACATGAAGCAGGAGGACCAGAGAGAACTGTGTGACTGCCTGCTCTCTGAAGGACTTTAAATACTGGTATGATCCCCATCAGATTTTTGGTTCATGTTTCCATGACCTGAAGCTACCAAAATTTTTTCTATTTACCTAATGCAAGATTTGTAGGATATTCAGCAAGACATCCCAGGGTCCACCCTACAATATCTGTACAGATATGACATAAGTGCAGCTCTTCAACATAGTCTTATGCTGGTAAGTTTGCCTAATCAAGGTAGGTTATTACAATATTAATGTTTTAACCAATGTGATAAGTTTCTGGGAAGGTAGAAAGCTGATTTTAGTAGATGATTGAAGAAATAATCCTACTTAGGATACAGTTTTTACAATAGAAATAGAAGAAATAAACATAATGTGATACCAGAACCAAGAGAAAAGGAGTATATAACAATGCCAAAATTATAAAAAGAGAGGAGAAAGACATTTTTGGGAAAGACAGTCCTTTACATAAATACTTCAGTTGAGTTGGTAAATGGAAAAGAGTTGCACTGATCTTGTTTACTGTTCCATCAATCCATTAGATATTTCTGTAGTGCTGTTTGTTTCTTTAATTTGACATTACCACTTGTATGTCTTGTGAAATACCATTTGAATGCCAGGGCAACTGAGATTTTGGAACACACTGTTGACAGCTCTTTTGGAACTACAAATATGATGTGTGCTACATCTGGTGAGTATGGAATGAAAAAATACAGTGGAAAAGCACAATTTCTCATTTGGAGCTGCTGTGCAGGGTTTACAATATCCAAGTCCCTTACTGAGTAAAGGGACTGTTTAATGACCTACCCATAGAGACAGTCTTTTATAATCAGTACAAAGATTGATTTGAGTATTTCTGCAAAGCTGGTCCATTCTTTCTAACTAGGAAAATTGACACAGAACGTGAAAGAGAGATGCTTAAATGCATGACTAAATTAAATCAGCGAATCAATAAATGATCTAAAAATATTTTGTCATTAATTTTCATGACACAGCTATGACTATACCAAGCAAGGCATCATGTGCACTCAAGCCTAATAAAGTCTCATACCTATGAGTCAGCGGCAGAAGTAGCAGCCAGCCTCCTGGAAGCTGCAATGAGTAATCAAGGGATTTTTTGGTGTCAGGCTAACATTGTAGACACTACCAAGTAAAAGAGAGTGAAACCAAAAATAATGTACTTAAAAAAGTTAGAAGCATAACAGCCAGGTGAGCAGTGTTATCTCTGCCAGCTCCAGAACTGACTGTTCTTCGAAGTGAATTTTGGTGTGTGTGTATGTGGGTGATCTAGATGTCTGCACTGATCTGCTCTTCTCCTAGTCCTGTCATTTTACCAAGAGAGAAGTCATCCCTAGAAAGAAAGACTAAACTAGCAACAGAAGAGACTGGCATGCACTCTACACTGCTTCTTTTTCCCTTTCTTTCTTTAAACAGAGGTGGAGGTATCAGACTGTGAAATAGGAGTGTCAGACATAGTGATGTTACTCTGGGTCCCTGAACTGATTCAGGATGACCATTCAAATATGAGAACTTCAGTATAGGTGGGTACTTGGCACTCAGAAGACAGTGCCCTCAGTACTTACAGGAATCTAATGGGGAGCTGGAGAAATCACAAGGTCATCTGTTAATTTAGACACAAATTTTCCTTTCAAATTATGTTTTAGATAGCAAATTTTTCTCAAGACTTAATGTACAGGACCATGAGAGCAACTGATAGAGCTAAAAATAAGTTTTTTTTTTTGCCAATTAAAAAGGTACAGAGTGATATTTTAAATGCCAAAGAAATTATAATTCAGGCTTTCATTGTATTATTATACTATGTTGAAGCTAACAGTTTTCCATTACTCCCTGAATAATATGTAATAATGATTTGAATAATATGTAATAATGATTTAGTGCACAGAATAAAAAAAAAAAATTAAATATTCATATTGAACCACAGAAGTTCCGGAAACCATATAACATCTGGGTGCTGAAAAAACCCTCGACCACCCAACCATAGTTTGGCCATTGATTCTGCAAGTAAAACCTCACTAGCTCCTACAAGTTTGAAACACTACACAGTCTCTCAAACCTATTCTGGATGAGGGAAAACAGAAAATAAACATTTCATAGAGGTAAAATTGTAATTTAAACTTTCTCTGACATAAAGGTGAATAAGAAGAAAGGTTTCTTAAGAACAATCAGAGAACAATCAGGAATATACAGGTTTCTTATCTAAGAAACAATAACTTTTTTATGGTCAAGTTTTCTCTTCTTAAGAGAAAAATGGAGCTGACTAAGTAGCTTTGATATTTTCTCCATTTTCTTTTCCTAACAGTAGCTTTCACTTCATGTAAAATCATTCTGTGGCTGATATTCAAATCCTTTAAATATGTAATTTTCCCAAAAGCTAAAGTCAAGTTCTTTTACTACTTCTTTAATACAGATTGATTAGATTGAGTGTCAGAACTCAATTAAGACCATCTGATGATGGAGCTTGCTTCGGGAAAGTGAGTACTTCAACAACAACACTAATGTTTTATTTCAGATGGAGAAAGTCTTTCTTTTGAGGTTGCTCATTTCTGTGTACTGCAATGATCTGGATGGGATTTAACCCCAAAAATCTAAACACTTACATTTTGTACTTCTATTTGCTACAGGGCCTTCAGCAATGAGTTGTAGTGCTCTCAGGCTGTCCTAGGCTCTACTGAACTTCTCAAAATATGACAGCAGGGGAAGTTTATTTTGATGACCACCTGTTCTTAGTTGGCTGATTTTGGCAAGGATTCCTGCATTGTCATGATACAATCCCACAGGCTTCAAATGAAAATACAGCCTTGAAACTGGAAATGAAGAATGAGTATGATGATGTGCTTGAACAAGAATATGCTCTGTTGCAGGCACAGAAGGAAGCACTCAATAGGAATCACCACTTTAAGCACAATGGTGAAGACAAGTCTGGATTTTCTGTAATGACCATCACCAAAGCTTTTAAGTGCATCCCAAGTGCATCCCTAACTGGCTTTATCAAATGTTCTGTTCTTCCTTCCAGACCCTGTTAAGCTTCACTGTCATGTGTGCTGGAGAAAAAAGGGGCATCTTGATGCCACATCCTCTGCTGAAAAGGGAATTTGTGGAAATATTTAGGAAAGAATGAAGGAAATGTCAATAACCAAAGCAGTCACCTTTCCAGCCAATCCTATCACCTTCTCAAGCATTATAACATACCCATGATACTTTTAGTTTAGGAGGAACATTCTGGATTGATAAATAGAAACCAGAAATACTTGGGAAGTACTACTCTCAGGAATAAGTGTTGCGGTGGAAGGTCTGCATTTCCAAAAATGCATCACTCCTTGAAGGCTACAGTGTGTAGAAGAACTTGGGCACCTTTATTTTTAAAATATGTAAGTGTAAAAAGTGAATTTCTACTTTGCTCTGAAATTAAGCAACATTGATTTTGTTTTTATAATCTCATTAAAAATTTAAGATTTCTTGTAACTATAAGAATGTGCTAGTTTTATGTGACACAAATTGTATGCATTAAGAAATTTTGGCTGGACAGAACATATTAGGATCATCCTTTTTCCAGAACAAAAATGTCAACCAACCAAGTTTAAAAAACCAATTTGCCAACTCCCTTCCCTTCTACTCTACCTCTTTAAGACACACTGCATCTTAATTAATTAGACTTGAATTTTTGGGGGGTTGATAGTATTACCATTTTAGCCGTTCTCCATTCATCCACAAACTTTGTTATGAAGTATAGATTCAACTTTACATTGACATATAGTAAAATTAAACAAAAGTACATCTTAAAAATTAGAAGAAAACGAGACAGAGAATATACACCTTTTGGCTGCCATTTCAGGGTGGTATAGGCAATGTTCAGGAGTTCTCTAATGTAATATTTAATTTCGTTTTAATTAACTTATTCTGTAGTATCACAAAATGTGCCATAGAGTCTTTGGCTTTGATTTTGCAACAGCATCTGCCTGAGTAGATCCTTATGAAGTCCCCTTCCTGAATGAGAGCTTAGATATTGTAAATCTATCCCAGTCAACCCTAAAGAGAAACTGGACTTTTTGACTGTCTGCACTCAAACCTCAGCACCTCCAGATGTAGCATGCATCTCAGCCTTCACTTCAAAACAGCTGTCAAGAATGTGTGCCAGACTTTCAGCTGTCATGCCATACAGTCAGGATCCCACACAACATACAAATGGCAAAATAGAATTAAATAATGGTTCATGATACCAGAAGAAAAATGCAATAGAGTTACAAAATGGTAGTGGTCATGCTCACTGACTTTACAAGAGTCAAAATTTCTCTGCTGGAGTGAGTTTAATACAAGAGAGTTCAAAAATCATGAGTTTAAGATGTAGCTGCATTTGTTGAGAGAATACCTGCCTAACATATTTTTAAGAAAGGTGTCTTAAAATTTATCTGGACAAAATACCCCTTCCCTTTAATTTAGCTGTTATTTACTGTTCATGTAAAACTCTTCTGTTCATGACTGATGAAGCATAGTGTGTAACTTACAGCCTCCACATTGTGGTGTAGAAAAACCCTCTGAAACTGCCTTTATGTAAAATTTGGAATGATTTCATCAATGCTAACACTCTTCCTCAATATAAGTAGAATTTTAGTTAGTAGCGTATTTGACGAGGCAGATTAAGCTGACAACTTTCATTAGCCAGACATACAACCATTGTAAAAATCTTCCAAACCAGAAGGTTAGGCTTGAGAAATCAGACACTGGTGTTGGCAGGTTCAGAGATATTTTTTCAACTTTATACAACAGTTCATCTGTGCCATTATAAATGGCAGAGAAAGTAATACACTGAAATAGATACTGATGGCCTGATACTGAAAGAGGCCAAAAAATAAGGAAAATTTAGACGGCCCTGATTAAGCAGTTTTATTTGTTGAATGCTATGACCACAAGCAAACCAGTTGAACTGAAACTCAGGTAAATACTTTTGCACTGGATTTTGAAATAAACATCATCATCAAAATGGGTGTGCACAAAATATATTGTGAGAATTATTTCATTAAGTATCTATATGACACATCATTTAATTTTGTGTAAAGGCACTGTATGTTATTAGTTACACAGTATCAAATGAGGAAAAGCCCTCTCAGAGGTTTTCTAGACATTCTAGACATTGATTTTATATGCAAGATCAAGTCAGGCAAGATGATCTAATAGTCTCTTGTGACAATAACATTTAGAAATCTATGAAAAAGTTTTAATAAAATATAAACCCAAAGATGATCTGGTATTTCTAAGTCTTTTGAGCTTTAACATTTCCCTACACCCCATCTCCCCACCTCCTAGTTTTGTGTTTATTTCAAAGTAATCAAAGTTTTTATTTCAGATTTTCTTGTATATTTAAGCACATTGGTGACACTGGTTGTCTACTTTCCTGTTGTTATTCTAGAATTCAGTAGCCTACCAGTCACAATTTCAGCTGTGGTGGTGGTCTAAGTAGTTAAGCTTCTCATTCACTATTTGCAAAATTAAATAGAGTGTTTAAAATGAAGTATGGGACCATCAAAATTCATCAACTTTATATTTTAAATGAATACTGTATAGATTTTTCCCTAACCCCCCATTTTACAACTTGCACGTTATCTTAAAAACTTGTCCCTTGTCCTTAGCAGCCTTCCAGTACCTGAAGGGAGCCTACAACAGAAATGAAGAGGGACTTTTTTCAAGGACATGTAGTGACAGGACAAGGGGGAATGGCTTTAGGCTGAAAAAGAATAGGCTTACATTAGGTAGTAAGAAGAAATTCTTTACTGTGAGAGAGGTGAGGCACAGGAATGGGTTGCCCAGAGAAGTTGTGGATGCCCCACTCCTGGAATCATTCAAGGCCAGGCTGGATGGGCTTTGAGTGGTCAAAGTTGTCTCTGCCCTTGGCAAGGAGGTTGGAACTAGGTGATCTTCAAGATCCCTTCCAACCCAAACCATTCTATGACTCTATTAAATAAGAATCCCATTAACTCCTGATGGACATAATGCCCCAACAGGTTAGGTCTAATCAATGAGATACTTTGATTATTATAGTTTTAGGTATGTCCTGCTAATGCTAAATTTAGACACTACCATTCATTGTATTATTTGCTCCCTATTAACGTAGCCTGTCCTTTTATTCCTGCCAAATAGCACTCATCTACTTGTTCCAAATGAGAACCTCACATGTCCAAATTAACTACTATTTCTAGATCATCACTTCAGAAATATTTCACTCTCTCAATATTTCAGTTTTATTGAACATCACTCATTTTGGTCAAGGAATTATGAACAGGTCTTCGTAACACAACAGCAATTTTTCTACTGTAGGCCACCTAAAACTAAAAATGTAGTGCAGTTGCAGAGTGGGTTTGCTTTTTTTTTTCCTGTTTTTGAATGACTGTAGTGACTATGTAGAGCTAATACAAAGTCTGGGCATTTGCTTGTGCTTTTTAATTAATTCACAGAATATTCTGCAGTAATAAGAAAATGTGTATGTTCAGATGCTATTAATGAACATCAGTTTAAGAATCTACATAAAGAGATAGACTAAACTAGTTTTCTTTTGCTTTGTATCCACTTAAAAGCACTCAAAGACAGTTGTACTTACTTGACTTTTGCATACCAGTTTCAGAGATCCAAAGAATTATGTTTAAGTGAGCTGCCAAAGCTGGGTTTGGTGCCAGACTCAGTACTCTTAGTTTATCACCAGCTGACCCACTGCTGTAATTCTAATACTCACTTTCTTGCTATACACTCATATTTCCTTACAAATAAGATTCCACAGTCACTGCAACATATCTCCCATTTCCAGGGGTTAAAATATAACTGGAAAAGTCTGTAGCCTACAAAACTACTGCTAATATTCACCTGAGTTTCTACCTGTGCTTATAATCTCCATAAGGCATTGGAATCACTAAATTTTATGGCTATCTGTATCTAAACTTACAATATTCACTGTAGCCTGACACTATCCCAATTGGTTTCCAGCAGAATTCATGCCAGTGGGCACAGTCTGGATCTGATTTGGAGGATGCGATGGAAATAGGGATCGTTAAAAACACCCCATTATCATATGGTCTGGTAGTTGGCTACAGTGCTGTTCTACAAACATGATTTAGTACAGATGTTTCATTTAAACTCTAGGTTTATAAAGGTACACATTTTTTTGGTTTACTCTGATTATAACCACAGTCTACTCCTCCCCGGTAATCAACTGCTAGAATTTGTCAAATGTTGTCATTTAATATGTGGGTCACTTCCAGTGCTGTGTTTGTTGCATGGAATGCTCCACTTCCATAGAAACAGATGTTTTAACTTAACAGCAGAAAGAGCTAAACAAGTGCATGTGAAGGCGCAGCGCAAATAATGTGTTTCATTTCTGTTATTTATAGCTGTCCGCAGCTATCATAATTTTTTTATTTGAAAATTATTAAATCAATTACAAGAAGTTTATTTGCAGATACTGCCAAGAATGATGCATGCTAGGCAACTGCTTCTGAGGAAGTGTCTTCTTCTGGGCCATTGCAGAGGCATTCCAGTGAAGTCAATCCCTTTCTGAAAGACTACAATATAACAGGGTCTGTACACTAGGCCTCAGATTATACGCAGGAAAAAAATACCCTCTTTAGACCTCCCAGCTCTTCTGGCAGATATGTCGGGTGTTAGGGCAGTGGAGCTAGTATGTACTTAACTCCTCAGCATATTTGAAGAGGGCAAGACCAGCTGAAATGGTGGTTAGCAGGAAGACTCATGAGAGAGGGCTCTGGCTGGAAAAAGGCTGAGCTGAGAGGATGGGTTTCTTCCTTCTTTCAGTTTTATTTGACTGAAATACATCCCACACAAACTGGGAATTGTGTTTATATGAAAAACTAGTAATAGTCTTATCTAAAATGCAAGGGGGAAATATTTTTTTGAAACACAGAACTATTTCCACATACCACAATGAAGAAACAAATCAGCCATCTGTGAAATTCTTTGCTCTTTAAAATCCTACCTGACTAGTTTCAGGTCACTGTAGGAGCCACTGATTTTTATAACAGAAGTGATGTTTGAAAGCGAGCCATACTGCATAC